ATTTTGTAGAGACCACCTACTAAACTAATGGGCAGGGTTTCAAATTACGGTTCGAAAACGTGACAGCGCCCGCGAAATAACGGTAGTGACGCCATCCAAATTACCCGCTATACCCGCAATAGTGCCTGCTATGGCCGTAATTGTGGTAAACACGAAATGATCGAAAACGCGACCATGATTTGAAACCCTGCTAATGGTTGTCATCATTCAAAACCGGCCATAATCTTTCAAAAAAGTAAAATTTAACCCATCCGATCCTGGTGCCTTGTTGCTATCTGAGGAAGCAATTGCTTCCCAAATTTCCTCCTCCTTAAAGGACCTTTCCAACATCAAGCTCTGCGCTTCTGATAATCTTGCAAATTCAAGTTCCATTTTCTCCACTTCAACAGTAAGATTCTTGTTATAGGCATCCTTGAAAAAACTAAAAACACTCGCTTTAATATGATCAGGTTCAGAGATCCATTCACTATTCACTTTCAAAGTCTTCAACATATTTACCCTCCCCTATTCGCTGCACATTGATGAAAATACTTGGAGTTATGGTCTCCATCTAAAATCCGCTTCTTTTGAGACTTTTGGAACCAGATTAATTCCTTTTTTTTGTACAAGTCTCATAATTCCCTCTTTGCCTTGACAATGTCATCCCATAAAATTGAATTTAGCCCCTGTTGTATTACAACCTCCATATCTCCTATAGTCTTTTCAAGCTCTAAAATCCTTCCCAGCAACAAACTGTGTCTATTATTCGTCTAATTTGTAACACCCCCAACCCGTACCCGATCCGGATACGAGTCTGAGGTGTCATATTGACTTTTAAAACTTTGACTTATTACAAAAACTCAAGAAAATTCAAAACTTTCATTAAAGTCGCAGCAATTTGTTTAACTCAATCAATTAGTACATGCCAACTATATTCAATATACATAATACATCTAATTCAAGACATATTTTCTGATATTCGGTAAGAAGTAACTGACCGGTCTTGCTCCTCATCACTTTTTTCTAGCTTTCCAGAACCTACGTGTGAAACACTCACACGCTAAGTCGATGACTTAGTGAGTCATAAAAACATATAACCACTACTAATGCATTCATAATCTATATTTATTATATCATACAAAATCATACATTCTGTCATGCAACCACTATCCATTTGTACACACACATCATTCACATATTCTTATAACAGGTTTCATATCACAAAACATGTAAATCATATGTAAGGTGTTTATTATTATCTCTTTATTAGTCTTATTTTCGTTCTTTATCTTTTTGTCATATGTTCTTGCATCAATTCCTCTTAAGCAAGCTATATACACATCATCATATCACATATATCACTTCACACCATAAAGATTACAAACCAATCACATACTATCATACAAGGTTCTTTTATATTATTTCCTTTATTAGCCCATGTATACATGTGAGAACCATATATATGTGAGTCTATAGAGGTTGTGCACTAATGATGTCACCATAGCTCGTATAATTGCACCGAAGTGCCACGTAGAATTGCACCAGAGTGCCGCATAGAATTACACCGTAGTTCCATATAATAATGTCCATAAGGACCACATATCATTCCTTAAGAATCATATACATATACTAGGGATCAAGTATGTGTCTCACAAGACTTCACACATGTTCCAAAGAATATATATATATATCCCGAAGGACCGCGTAGACCCTCGACTCTTGGCATGCCAACTATACCCCTAGCTCTCAAGACACATAACATGGGCATTTTATTTTATACTTATCATTTCACATAACACATAGTTCACTTTCACATATCACGTAGCTTATATAACTTTTCGTGTCATTTTACATTTCTTGACACCTTGCTTGCATTCTATTATTATGACTTTTCATAATTACATATACACATAATCTTATAGTTCATTCACATGGCTCATCATAAATTTTCATAAGATCACACCCATTCACGTAGTTCATTTCCATATAATTCACCTGTACCTATTTGGTTTCTCATATAATCACAGAGTCTTATAATATTTCATACGACCTCATACATCACATCACCTAGATACATACTCAAATACTCATAGTCATATAGTACTTAAATTATTCCTATTCACATCATTCATGGTCATATTTATAAACATGCATTTTATATTCTATGTGCATATCATCACTTTATATCCAAATCTCCTAAGTGATATATTATTCTCAGTTCCTTTTATAGTTCAGTCTTATCTAGTTTTCCTCCATTCTCCATAAATCTTATAACTCTAATGCACAATTTCCCATAATTGATCATATCATTACTTATTTGTCTCATTTATATTTCTATTATTTATATAACCTTTACACATGTTTACCTAATTCAGTTTCACATACTTATCGCATATGCAAGTCTTCTAATAAATTATCATCAAAAGCTCCTATAACATCTTCTTATAACTTCATAGATCTTTACCATATAATTGGTCTTACATATCCCTATAACCAGTTCTATCAATATCTCCTAATATATATATATATATCTATTAATCTCATATTGTTCTATAGGTCAATGTTATTTAACTTATCTCACATTTTATTTAATCCCTTAAGTTGATTCCACCAATTCCCTTATATCTAAACCAGGTAATTTATATCTTGTTCCATATTTTATGTCACTTTCTCTTGTTAACACATAAGTCGTAGTTACCTTACATAATTTGTGATCCTATAACTTATATCACATGTTCATATAACAATTTTCCTATAATACATAAATCATTGTCATATAACTCATATCATATAAATTCATGCCACATAACATATAATACGAACAAAACATATTCACACAATATCAAACATAATCATACTTCTACTCCTACAATCATATTGGAAACAGACTTGTCGCAAGTCCAATTTCCATATTCAATACATATATTATAATAATATGCACTCACCTGGCCTCACTAGTTAATATCGATCTCTTATCTTTTCCTTGATCGATCTTACTTGCCAAATATTTCGGAATTGCTTTACGATTAGAATCTACATAAATGTACATTTTAAGGTAATTATTAGATACCTACACCTTGTAATTGGATACTAGCAACTTACACGAACCTATTAAACCAATATTCACAACTTTCCTTTAGGGGGGAATCGGTTCCCTCCTGTGGGGGAATCGGTTCCCCCATGACATTTTGTAAATTCTGGTTCGTTTGAGGGGGTATCGATTCCCCTTTGAATGGGTACCGATTCCCCCTTGAATGGGTACCGATTCCCATTGAATGGGTACCGATTCTCCTAGCCCAGAAATCATGTTTGAGCTCAAGAATCACTTCATTTTCAGCTCCACACTTCCTATTTCACTTCCTTTAATATTCTTAACTCAAATATACATACTTAAACTAATAAATTTGCATTCAATATCTCTTTAACTTAAAAATCCACTCCTCCACATAGCATTCAAGAATCATACCAATTTTTCCATGTTACCTAAACTTAATTCTAACACTTCTAGCTTATTATTCTCATAAATGACAAGTCAAATTCAACTTCCAATTTGAGTAATGAACTCTATTCCAAAATTTCATTCAAAAACTCTTAATCTTTAATCTCTCCTAATTCCACCATCCTTTGTTTTTAAGATGATTTAAGCTTTCCTTAAGCTTAATTATCATCCAATAATCATAACCAAATCCTAAATTCAGCTAAATATCAACTAACAAGATATCTTACCTTTGCTTATGGCTTCACGGTGGAAAAGAAGAGAATGAAGAAGAGAAGTCTGGAACTCTCTCCTATTTCCCACGTTTTATAATACTCAAAAAGAGAAGATAAAAATCTTTCCCATGAAAAGACCATTTTGCCCCTTTAGTTCATCCATCTTTTCTATTTAATCCAATATTAAAATTCTTTCCTTAACTCCCGAGACTTTTAATTTATTTCTAAATTGAGCAAAAAACTTTCAAAATTTGCAATTTAGTCACTGACCCTGATTTGGGATGTTACATAATTCCTGATTACATTCTTCGACTTATTCAACATTTGTGCAATCCTTCTCCTGTTTTTTGTCCTTCTTCATCTCTTCGAAAGCTGAAACCATTATTTCCTGAAAACCCTATTCTTCCATAAGATAATTAAAAAGTCTAAACGGTTTCGAACCCCAATTCACCACACTATTTTCAAGTAGTATCTCGTTATGATCCGATAATGATTTTGGGAGAATAGTCTGAACCATATTTTGATAAATACTCGAAAACTTGTAATCCACTAGGAACAAATCAAGTCTGACAAAGGCGGGAGACTCCCTGCTATTACACCACGCAAAGTTCCCAACAGAAGCTGGCAAATCTATTAGCTTAGCCTGAAAAACAAAATTACCAGGCAGTCTCATTGAATGAACATTCTTAGCTTTCCCTAGTTTCTCCTCTGGGGACAAATAGACATTGAAATCACCCCACACAAAAGGGACAATCCATCTGATCTAAGAAAAATAACAGTTCCTCAAAGAAACTCTCCTTTTCAGATTCAACTATCGGGCCATATACATTGACCAAACATCATACCTCACCATTATACTTTATTTTGCCCTTAATTGCTATGAACCAACTGAAGATAAAGTGTTGTTCAATTTCGAACCAATTTTCATCCCAAATGCTAATTAAGCCCCCCGCTGTCCCTTCTGAAGGGGATGAAACCGACCCTTTCAACTTCCTCTCACCGAGTTTCCTTAATAAAGCCTGATTTGCTACCTCCAATTTCGTCTCCTGCAGAAACACTATAATTGGTTTCTTCCATGAAATCAAGCTCCTCACTGCCCTTACCTTCGCTTTACTTCCCAATCCCCTGATATTCCAAGAAATGCATGAAAAAATTGACATATAAAAAGATTCGACTACCTCCTTCAGCGATGTGGCTCAATTCACACCTCCCCCAACCTTGCTATTACGTCCTCTTCAAATTTCCTTGCAAAGGCATTCTTCCCCCACGAAAAGTTATACCCAACAGATTGCTCACCTTCCATGTGGCATTTAATGTACTTTTAAAAAATGATCAAAATACACCCATACATCGATTTTTCTTTTAAACATTTGACAATAGAGGTTAAGGAGAGTTTTCACTATTAAATGAATGAGCACTTGAGCAATTCCATGCACTAAAAAATAACTCGATCGCAAACAAATATAGAATAACAGAAACAAGGAGCAAACCTCTAACAGGAGGTTCAATATGAGCGGCCCCACAAACTGTGAAAGATCATTAAAAATCTACATATTTAAAGGACAAACAGCAAGTTTAAGGGACAAATATTAGGGGTAAAGCAATTGCACAAAACAGAGAATTGCTATTTTTCAATTGAGAAACCTTTCATAGATAAGAAAATGAAGATGTTTAAAAAAAGTGACCTGTCTAAACTCTCAAATACTGAAGAAAAAAAAACACTTCCCAAAGCCGCCAAAAGTTCAATAATTAACAAACATTATTTTCCTATGCAATTTCTATGTGCGAGAATCCTCCTAATAGGTAGGACATCGGTTTACACAGCCTGCAGGTCACTACTTCAGATTACAGTGGAGTAGATGACTATTGGGCCAACCTCATGATAGAAAGGTGAAAAATGTGAAATGAGGAAATCTGATCAGATTCTTTCCCATTATTCTAAGATAAAACATTTTAGATTACATTCTAAGGATGCTATGAACCAAAATGATATGGCCTTCAAAATAGACAAGCCTCTTTGATGTTCATGTACATGCAGAAAGATTGAAAGACCAAAGCCAACTCTTTGCATATGTAACATATGCACTGAACCATTAAAAATTCTCCAAAAAAAATATAACTTAATAGTAAAAGTTCCATAAATAAAAGGCATCAGAAATTTCCAGGAACATAGGTTATTACCTTCCAGAAGCCTCCCCACCAAAACCTAAAGACCAAGAAGGGGATGAATTAGATAAAGATGAGGATAGTGATTAACTTTTCACGAGCTATATCTAGCATTAACTGTTTCACTAGAAGAATACCGTTCTCACCCAAATACATGCTAAAGAGCTAGAGCTCAAGTTTGTCCCAACCTTTTAGATTTGATTGTCTCCTTAGACAATACAAGTCAACTTCCACTAGAAACAATGGTACCATTATTTTCATTGTCATTTTATCTGATTACTTGTTTTATTTATCTCTTCAAATTACTAATGCAATAATACGAAAAAGAAAGGCGAAAACTATCTTTAGTCATAGAACCAAATATGAAAAGTGGCATAACTAAGGCTATATTTCACTACCTTCCTCCAAGACTGCTATTCAATGCTCTTAAGAGCCATGGTTTGGGCCTTCGTGATTCCTCAGCCCAACATTTCTGAAACCTACAAAGTCGGACATAGATATCATACATCATCGCGATGCATAAAATTCCGAGAACCAAAATATAATTAAAATATCAGCACATACTTGTTGTTTAGCGTTTCAGTCTGATCCCAAGTATCTAAGTTCCAGACATCCTTCTCTGTGATAGGCCTTTTATAGACTTGCTCCATTAGGGGGCTCATCCACGAAAAAAATATTTCTAGCAAAACGGAAATGAATACAAGAGAATCAAAGGCGAATCACAAGTACATATTTATTCTGACCCACTAGAGATATCTATGGTTACCAATTAGCATCATGACAAGATTAGGGCTAAGAAGAAACAGAATAGAACACATTGTTAAATTTTCATCCTTATATCCATTGGGATAAATTCATAGTTAGAAAGCAACAAGCATATAAAATTCCCATTACAATAAAATATGTAATATTATTGTAAATTAAAGGCTAAAATTATTCATGATGACTGTACAATACCAGCTGAAATGTCACGTATAGACCAACCATGGCAACATACTAGGCATCAAAGATATAAGGTTTACAATATTTTTTATTTTTGAGAATAAGGACCTACATCTTGATCAACATATAATGTTAATTCATGACCCTACTAGGCATCAAAGATAAGTACAGAAAGATATACATACTGGAAAATATATTAACATGCCTCTCAGGACATATTTTCTCTCCTCCGGGAAGTTCTTCATATCCAGCATCATCCACAAGTTCGGTCCGCATTGGGGTATAACCAGGGTATGGATCCAAATCAGGAATATACACCAGCAAGAGTATCCCAAACAAAATCTAAACAAGAAAAGCAACCTATCTTTTAGCGTGTAATCAGAAAGGGAAAGATAAGTGTAAAATTTGTGCAATGTAATAATTACAACACTGGCCATGTCATTATTGTACAAAGGGTTTTGAGGCAAACTCATTATTGTCCCTAACAATAGCCTTTTGTGAATAGGAAAATAAAAAGGCAAGATAACACACCTTAGATAGGACCTCACTTGAGTGTATATACAGGATGGAGCTGCACAAGTATAACAGAAATATGAGTCTTCACAAACTGTGATTGTTCATCAAATATGAAATTTTAACATATTAATGAGGTTAAAGACGAAGAATAGTTCCATGTTCAAAACAAAGGCAACTTAAGCTACCAACAGAAACATACCTGTTGTAAAACTCCCTTACAGAAAGAATGAGATTGAGCATCACCGCATCCCCTATCAAAGTATAAATGACACCAAATCTGACAAACCATCGAAATTCACGAATATAGACTTTAGTTTCCACAACAATCATGACAAAAATAGAACACCATGTGAGAGCTTCCACGATCAAAGAAGCAATCTGCACAAAGAATCAAAACAAAAGGCTTCAGATATGATTTACATTAGCCAACAGGACTAAATTAAATATCATAACATAGAGATTGACCGATCCTTCTTAAACTTATCGTGATTTCTGGCTCATAAAATTGCAAAACTAACTTAAGAAAAATAAAGAATGGCACTAGGATCTGGAAAGATTCATGTAATAAATAGTCGATGGAAAATGTAGACCATGGCACATGCATCTTCCAGCATGTATATACATAACATTTAACATATAACACAACAATTCCTGTTTCCACAAAGCCATAAAGTAGCACTCAAATATAGGAAACATCATAATCCACAAGTCTTCAACCACTGAAAGTATCTCCAACCAGGAAAAACTGATACTGAGATAGAGCAGCCAGCTTGGAAGAAACTATACAATAAAATATAGAGTACAAGAAACTGCCATCAATGTGTTTAATGTTGGTTCGAGTAAGGCTGTAAAGAATATATTGCATCATATTTGCAACCCTACTATCTGGTGTTTCCTTCCTTAATGGACAAAAGATTGCAGGCTAATGAAATGCAACTCAATGGCTTTCATTTCACTCCATCCTCAAATAGGAACAAAAAGCATTTACACAAATTACAAATATATAACCCAATTTTGCATAAAAATAGAAGCCAATTCAGATTAAATTCAAACTACTCATCCGAAGGGTAAAGTACAACAAAATATTAACACATCCAAATTAGCAAAAAAACCTACAAAAACAAATAAAGAGATTATTAGGCAGCATAGGGTGAAATACTACCTCAAATGGAGCAAGACCAGGCTGTCCATCCAAATTTAGAACTGAAATCCCCATGATCAACCTGAACAGAGGCTCAGCAGTAGCATAAAGAGCCAGCAGACAGAGCATATAGTTATAATATACAGAAGCGCTGAGCTTTGAGATCTCTCCTGATGAGCCATACTCGATAAACACAAAGATCCAATAACACCAGATGAGATATGGTGATAACCAGAGAATCAGTTGCACAGGGTGTGTATGCACCAAAGGCATTAGACACAGCCCTTTTCCATACCCCATCAGCCACTGGTCTACAGAACCAAACCAATGGCTCAAAAGCCATTATTTTCTTGTTGCTGCTTTACACAATTCTCTTCACTTAAAAGCACAAAAACACCCACCAACTTATATATTTCTCATCGCTTGCCTGCAACCGATTTAAAGCAAATTTAGCGCTAAGTCAATAAGCAAAACCAAAACATAGAGCGCGAAGACCATTGTCCATCCTTTTTATTTGATCTTTCCTAAACTTCATCGGCGTTGACATTCAAACAATTATACGGTGATTTTTCCAGCATCAAAAAAAAAAGAAAAAAAGAAAAAAGCGCCCAGCAACAATTTGAAATAAATAAACAGTAAAATTTTGTTCATAAGTTCATCGGCGTTGACATTCAAACCTTTATACGTATTGTATTATGCATAAGTTTAAAATTAGTGAACAATAAAATTTGTTGCACTCCCAATATAAATAAATAAAATATTTTATATAAAAAGACTATTCAGTGACGCATCATAAATCGAGTGATAAAAATTTTGTACATAAATTTATTAATATTGTGTTCGATCGTTTAGTGGTGTTTTTTTAATTATTTTATTTAAAGATGAAATAAAATTATAAATAAAAAATAAAAGAATAATATTTTTTATTTTTAAATTATAATTTTAATATTTTCGTACCCTCTCAGTAAAAATATTGACAGTCAGTAGTTATCTTAAAATAATTTATTATAAAAATTGAAAAGTTTAAATTTAAATTATGGAGTAAAAAAGAATAACCACAAAGCTAAAAGAGTTTGGTTCAAGTAGTAAGCAGTTTGATGTTACTTAAGCAAGATTTAAAGTTCGAGTCAATATGTATGTATAAAATCCCTACTAAGAGACTCACTCACCAAAGCTAGATGTAACGTGAATCGGTTTGAATTAATCAAGGAAAAGTTTTAGAATCAGAAGGACAATAAAAAAATATAACGATAAGGAAAGGATTTATCCTTTTTTGCCTCTTTTAAAGGGATTGTTAAGGATCGATTGATTATCGAGAGTGATAGCAGGGTAGCAGTGGATTGGATTAAGAATGTTGATTTATGTCCAGATGAGTATGCTTTTATTATTAATGACATAGTTGATAGGCTTAGAGTTTTTGAGTGCGTTGTTAGATGGATTGCTAGGACAGCTAACCTAGAGGCTGATGCTTTAGCTAAGGCTGGAATAGGCTGATTCCTTTGTTGTCGTTTACGGTTGTCTTATGGCTTTTAGTACTCGTAAAGGGTGTTTTGGTGTGTTGTATTTCTATTGTAACTTTCTTTATGTGTAATGAAATCTTAAGGCACTCTTTTTCTCCTTCCGCTAATTTAAGGAGTTTCTTTACGAGTTCATTCAATTAAGAAAGGAGTTTTTAACGAGACCTTCAATTTTTTTTTTAAAAAAATAAGGAAAGGGAAAGGGAAATTTTTACTATTATGGTTATCAAGGATCCTGAAAGTTTATTTGTCAAGGTCATTATGGCTGAATATTCCCCTCGATAAATATTCTCCATGCTAAGATGGAGGAGAACAACTCTTACGGTCCATTGATCATCCTACTCTTTGTAGGGACCTTATGCAGCCTGGACGAGCACTTTCTGACGAGGAGAAGGTCCGACGAGTTCTTGCACAGGAGGATGTAGATCGTTTGCTATGTGTGGTTATTGCTCCTTGTATGAGGGACATAATTATATGGGGTTTTCATGATTCCGAGATATATACTGTCCGGTCGAGCTGCCAGTGGCTTCAACGAACTTCCATGATCAAGGTCCTTTCTCGAAGGCTTGGAAAATGATCTCTAAGCTGAAAGTTATGCCCAAGATCCAGATCTTTGCTTGGAGAGATGTGCTCACAATGCCTTATCGGTGGGTGTTCCCGGGCGAAGGAGGCTCTCTTACTGGCTGACTACCCCACTCATCTTGTAATGCCTACTGCGACGAATCCATTGGCTTGGATGGAGAATGCTATAATTGTTCTTGGATTGAATTTGTTGGTTTCTTAACATTATTATGGAATTTATGGAATGATTGTATTTCTCTTGTTCATGATAACTGGTTCCAGCCCCCGGGGCTGCTGTGCCCTTAACTGTAATAGTTCTTTATTTTTTTTATTCGATCTTTCCGGAGATTATCTCTTTGACTGTGTATTGAACGATGTAAGCCCCCTTAATATATTTTTTTATTAATCTAGGGTAAGTATAAGATACTATCGATTCAAATATAACTTTCAATCATTTGACATTGATCGCTCATAACCCTGATATTACAAGTGCTCGAATCTAAAACCTTAAGGAATATAAATAATTCATTTACCGTAGAGGTGATAAGGGTTCGTGCTAAAAAATATTACATTACATTATAATTATTTTGACTATTAAAAATATTATTTAAAGAAAAGATTCCATTTGTTTTATATATCACTCAGCAGACGAGGATTAACGCACTACCATTTTATAATTATTTCACTGGAATACATTGAATTTAACAATGGATTCAACGGTGGAATAATTCAAATATGGTGAGCTTTGAAAACAAAACCTTAAATTTCTTTAATATTTTCCTTAGCATTAAAGTAAAATTTCATTTACTAATTTAAAATTTGAGATTATTAATTTATTATATGATATACTAAGTTAGAAATAGGGTTGATGTATGATGATGTCAACTTCGTATCTTAAATCAATAGACTCATTATTCCAGTTTTATAGTGGATTCTTTTTTTTTCTTTTTCTTGGGCAAAGTATACGGATGGCGCGCCGACTAGGGTTGTACATGAGATGAGACAGATCGCGAGCTACTCGAGATTGACTCGATCAAGGCTCGATAAATACTCGGATCGAATGGACTCAAGCTCGAGCTCGACTCGAGTTCTTAACGAGCCGAAACGAGCTACTTGATATTCGACTCGAAAAGCTAGTGAGCAACACGAAAATATATTATATTAAGATTTTAATTTTTTAAAAATAAATTATTAATAATATTAATATTTATGTATTCATTTTTTTAAAATACAGTAAGATTTTCATGTATTTAAGGTTTTGGTTCGAGTTTGAGTTTGAGACTTCAATCGAGTTAAGTTTAAGAATTTTTTTTTTCATTTTGAGCCTTTTCAAGCTGCTCACGAGCTTCAGTTAAGGATTTCGAGTTCGAGTCGAGCTTGAAAATTTTAAGCTCGCGAGTTTTCGAGCGAGTCGAGCTCAATTTCAGAGTTTTCGAGTCAAGCCGAACTTAGCAATACTCGAGCTCGACTCGACTTGTTTACACCCCTAGTGCAGACTACATGCTGATATTTTATTGAATTCCTTATTTATTGAAAGTTACAAAATGATCTCCAGATTATAGAGCATTGTTTTATTGAATCCTCGATTATTAAAAATTACAAAATAGTTTCGCGACTATTCATGTGTTCCAAACTCACCATTTTCTATTAAAAATTGGCGACCGTCTATGTTGGACATTAACTTGTTGACAAATATGATAAAATTTGATCACAAAATAATTTGAGTAAACAAATGACTCAACAAAATAGTGTCATATACTCAGAGGATCATTTTGTACTTTTTAGTAGTAAGGAAACTATTTTGTAATTTTTAAATATCAAATGACTCAACAAAACAATAACCTATAGTCAGAGACTATTTGTGTACTTTATCCCTTTTTATAAATTCCTATTTATTATTTAAAGGTGGGACAAAGTTGAGGGGATATCTAAGGAGCGACAACCTAATTTAAGATAAAAAAATGACGATATTGGATGCAACTTAAAACGTGATAAAAACTATAATATTTTAGGTTCGATGCAACGTAAAATGTACATTCTCCCTAATGTTTTCGGTTGAACCGAAAATTTTACGCTTTTTATAACTTTTTTGATTGACAACCGAAAATATTACTTTCTTCGTAACATTTTAGGCTCAACTAAAAATGTTAATAAAATATAATATTTTAAGATATAGTCAACCTAAAATATTATGATTTTTATCATTTGATTTTTAACATTTTATGGTATGATGTTTCGTAAAATATTCTCAACTTTTCACTACACCAAAAATAATATTATTTTATATATTTAATATTAATATAATATTTTAATATCATTTTAATAAAAGTAGAGCCTCAAGGTTAGTGATATATCTAAAATTAATTTTGAAAGTGGACACATATATATTAACAACATACAATTTTTACTCGAAGTAGACACGATTAAAATTTCAAGATAGACATAATTAATAAAATAATTAATTAATCGAAGAAGATTCAAATTTTAATATAATCACATACCTATCTTAAACAATAAATGAATCTGCTATTATTCAAGTTAGATCAAGAACTTAACTTGTTAATTTTGGGCAAGACCCAACCGCATAAACATTTTAGTGTAACATGAAATTAAAATATTCAATATTATAGACCTTAAACATTTAAGGCCAATATAATAAAAAATGAGTAAGTGCATCATTAAAATCTCATAAGAGTTAGTATCATTTATCAATAAGACAAGCTAAGAGTTCTCAAATATTGAGTATCGTTTATTAATATTATAGAGTTTTTTTTTTGAATGACCCAATATTTATACTTACAAACAACAACAAAAAGACAAGAAGAAAGAAAACTATATTAATTTTTTGAATTAAAGAAAACTAAATTAATTAAAATTTAAGTATTTACAAATTGCTAATTATTTCTAAAACACAAGCTAAGTGTAACTATCTGTCTCTCTACCAAAATCTAACAACTCTAGTAAAATTTTATTGTCTCATTATATCACACCTTGAAACGTCCCTCAAAATTTATCTATTTATAAGAATCCATTAAGTGGTCTCATTAGTTAAATGCAGTGTAGTTCTTCTTAATCCTAAGTTCAAGCAGTTGCGCCTCCGGGTGTGTGTATGTTATTACTAGCTAAGAAAGAATCTAAACAAATATGTTAGGATTGATGAAGCTCAATTTGTCAACCGAAAAAGTGCCAAGAGGGGGTGAATTGGCATTTTGAAAATTTTGGGTATAAAGTAAAAAGAAATAGACAGTTTGCACAATGATTTATA